CGCAGCAGATTGCGGCACCCGCATTAGCTCCCCCCCGACCTGCTTCTAGATTAAAGAATTATGACCTCCTGAAGGTTTGCAATATTAATGATCGGAGCCATCTGTTAATCCGGCAGCCGGCACCAAGCTGGCTTCTGACTTCCCTCAGCCCCGTTGTGGAAACAGGGTATTTTGGGTCAGGCTGTCCCTGCGTTATTTAGGTGTGGGAGCAGGGGCAGGAGAAGGCTTCGGGCGGGAAGGGAGATGCCACCCACAGCACAGCCCAGCACTGCACTGCGCAGGATTTGGGGCTGTCACACAAGGGCGGCGGATGCACCAGCAACGGGCCACCAGCCCCAGGAAGCAAGAGGGGTTTGCCCTCAGCTGCTAATTCTGGTCCTCGCTGAGAAGGTATTTTTGATAACTCAGTCTCCGGTGTGCGCTCCGACGGGATAAATGCATTTAGGAGGTTAATCAGTGTCCTTGGTAGGAAGGTACAAGCGCTCTGCGTCCTGCACAGCAGGACGGGGTTGGAGGCGAGAAGGGGCGACGTGTCTGGGGATGGCCCGAGCACCCACGTGGCTGCCGTGTTGCACGAACCCACCCTCACTTCACGCTCTCCGTTCAAGACGGCAGCCTCAAGGCCCAGGCTCCTGCTGTTGGGATGCACATCGCCATTCCTACCTTGAGCAGAGCTGGAAAAGCCAAGGGGCGGCACCAGCAGATCCGTTGTTTGTTCTTAAATCCTGTACCGAGACCTTTCCCCTGCTGTCCTGTGAACAACGAGGTTATTACCAACGGATTTCAGGAACCCACCCCCAAGCACTGCCCACGGCAGGTACATTATCTCCTGGGCTAAATGCTGGCATTCCCCTTCCAGACTTTAAGACCATCAGACAATTTTACTACTTTATGATTAAAATTTATTTTCGATACAGGCACTTACGTGTCAATGTTTTATTTATCGTTTGGCAGTACCAGCTGTACACACACTTGCTAAAACAGCAGAGTTCCCTTTGCTAAAATACAATATTTGCATGAGACGCCTCCAGGTGCCCATTTTCCTCTCCAAACTACGCATTTCGATTTTTAATGAGCTCTCTTCTCCTCAATTATACCCGGAGACGAGATCAGCCTTCAGTTTACCTTTGAGGTTACACCAGTCACAGTCTCTGGGTACCGGGGTGATGTTTTTCCACCATGGTTATTGCAACAACTCCTCCTGTCCAACCAACCCAGGCCTTTTCCTGGTACAGAAAAGATTGCACCATTATCTATAGCACAACCCTCGCTATAAGGGCTGCTATAATTCATCAGAACGCAGAAGCAGATAAATAATGGATAGATCTGCTATTTACTTACAGGAAAGGAGCCTTTCCCCTTGATGGTAAATCCAGGTTCGAAGGGGTAACGAGACACCCGTCCTCACCTCTTCTTCTCCCTCCTCTGCCCCAGGACACCCAACAGGGCAACACCGAAGCAGGTGCTGTCCAAGCTCAGCTCGACACAGGCGATGGGGTGAGAAAAAAAAGGAACGTGCCAAAATAAAAGAGAAGCACCTCTCATGGAAATGGGGATGAACGACGTCTTCACAAATATGAGACATCGGCCCTGACAGCACCAGCAGAACCAGCTCCCCCAGCGCCGAGGGACTTCACCCACCTCTGCTCGGCCTGGCTGAATCCAGTCAGTGCAAGATAAAGGCACAGAACCAAAATCGAAAAAAAATTCACAAAACCCCCAAAACGGGACAGTATCACAGAATTTCTACAGGGTTTTACTTCACAGTTGATTTAGATACATGTACACTTCTGTAGAAAATCTTAACAAGAGCGCAGAGCTTATTCAGGATCAAAAAAAGCTACAAAAGCCACTGAAAGCTTTAAATGTGCAAAGTACAGTTCACCACGTATTTTCTTTTCCCCTGGCTGCCAAACTAGTGCAGACTGGTGTCACAGTGGGGCAAAGAAAAGTATAAACCAGGCTAGAAATATTTCTCTGTTTCTGCCTCCACAGTTCCAAAATTAGCTCTTAAATTTACCACTATAATAAGAACTCAAAAAACCCAGAGGGCCAGCAGCACCAGTCTAACAGTCCTCTAGAGTAAAAAATCCCAAACCAACAAACCTCCCAAAAAACCCAAAGCCCCACAACTGGAAACCCCTAAAAACTAGATTATCTCATAAAAAAAAAATATTTACAGGCAAACCAGGCTATTTACTGCATTAGGCCTTCCTGAGGCAAGTAAGAAAGCTTCAGTCTGTGTCCTCCAAGAGTGGTTTATTTTTTACGATCATCCACTGAACAAAAAGAGGGAGTGCAGACAGCATTTCACCACACGCTGCCGCACCTCTTCCTGCTTTCAAACTTCTGCGCTCCCGGCAGGTGCTCCGCTGCAGACATCGCACCCGTAGAGCACCTGTGCAACACAACAGAACTAAAGACTTGTGGTGTTCTCTACCCTCACTCCCTCCCTGATGAGCATCAGGTTGTGCAGAAGCTTTTTTTTTTTTAAAAAAAAAACCCAAACAACAAACACCACCTTGAACAGCAAATTTGCAAGAAATGAAATTTCCAAAACCTGTCTACTGAAAAAGCAGCTGCTGTTTGTCGTCTTAATCCGGGATCTCATTTTTGGATTTCTCCGAAGACAGTTTTTAGCTGGATGTTTTGGGAAATGACAACCAAAGCAGAACACGAGGGACTCCAGGAAGAGGATTCTCAGATTAAGACAAGTCAGAAGAATACTGAGGATTTCGCCACATTACAGTTTTTCAAAAATGCTGATGAACTTTGAGACTTCGTGATGAGCTGCGGTGCCAAGGGGCAGGTGCCTCAATCCCTGGGCAGAGGAAAAAAAAAAAAAAATTAGCTAGTATACTTGAGAAATGTTTATAATAATTTTACACCAAAAGACATTGACATATAGTCAATATAGGGTATAACAAATTGTATCTTTAAATATTGATAAGTAATACAGTTGTCACTGATACGCTTTTTTGTTAAATTCTAAAATACAGAGACACTCACTGCGTTGTGGAAGAAGTTGCAAAGATGCTTCGCCCATGGACACCTGAAAAACAGCAAGAACAGATACAGATCCTGAAGCACTTTTCTCACCCGGACAGACCTGCCCCCAGGCTCCAACCACTCCGAGTTTTGCATTAATCAAAGCTTTGCAGGAAGAATAATCCAACAATTCGCTTCAACTTCCAAATGGAGACTGATTTCAGATGTACAGTAAAATAATTAAAAACAGACCAGAAGAAACGGGATTTCATCGCATCTCTCGGATCACTGCTAGGGCACAGCGTAAACCAGACGGCAGCAGTTAATGGAATTGTGAATTTGTTACATACAGCCCAGCTCACACACAGCTGAGGGAAATCAGGGATTTTATTTTCTCAGCTACACACAGCAAAGGCTGGAGAGAAGAAACAACAGAAGCCCTTCACCAAGAAAATCCACATCCGTGATTCCCACTTGAGACAGTTACCCAGAGGTGAATTCTCAACGTTACTCAGCCGCCAGCAGTGACGTGTGAATGAAAAGCCCCAGAGCAGGCAATTACTCTGCCCTCTGTACACAGCCACAGAGTCAATTCATTTTAAAACTATTAAGTCAATAAATTGAGGTCTATCACTCTAAAGCCTAAAATGCTTTACTGCATAACACGAAAGTATAATCCTTGCTCTCCCGAACGGCTCATGGTTTCAGCAGGGGCACGTTGGTGTCTATTACCATTTGTAATCTAAATGAAGAACTCAGGACTTTTCCAGAACTGTTTTCCCCACCCACTGAAGCTTTGTGCTGCTGCAGAGCAAGTGGTGTCTCTTCTTATCAAAAGAGGGTAAGAACGATGGGCAGAAACTTAACGCTGTCCTCAGTTCGCATTACAGCGCGCGTACGTTCCTGATCCTCTGGTTTCTGGTGTTCTTTTCCCTCACCACAGTGGAGAGGATTTCTTACAGGCTTTAAATAAACCTTGACACCTGTACACCCACCGCACTCTGGGAGCTACAAGACAACGTACATTTTGACCTAATTCCATCTATTTTCTCCATTACAAAGCTGCCTTATGCCTCCTTGCTTTGCTGCTTTGGTTGCTGTCGAGGATAATGATATTTAAGTAACAGAACTAGACTGGACCACAGATAGTCTGGATGACCGGGCAAGGTTTCTGACAGCAGATAATGTATTTTTGCACCACAGGGCACTGGGGAGGGAGAAGGCTGTTTGGTTGCAAAGAGTTAACAGAACAATTTCAATTCTACCCGAAACATCGCGTTCAGTATCTAATAACAGGGAGCAATCAACAACAAGAATGAATCATGAGGTAAGACTGTTAATTAGAGCAAACTTCCATCATTGTTGCAACACAGAGTGACGTTCCATTTGGCTGCGACAAAGATTCACACTTACATCTGCAGGTTCTCGGCGATAATATTCAGAGTGAACAGGCCAATGGATTGCATCTTCTTATGTCGGCACGTCAGGAAGAGGCAAAGGAATTCACCCACGTACTGGGGCCCAAGGTTTTGCCACCTAAGCAATATAAAACCAGGAAAAAGAATGGAGCTGTTCAGAGACAACTTCACGACAGATTCCTGGCATCTTACGTGCATTCTTGATTTACCCAAAGCACGGGGCTGGCTCAGGTAAGGATGGTATCTTGGCTAAACCTGCTGCCGTGAGACTGCTCTTACCCTTTCCACAGAGAGACTTCCAGGAGCAGGAGTTTACTCACAGTTTTAGCATTGTTGCTTTCTGGCGGTTTAGATCTCTCAAGATCAGGTTGACGGTGCCTTGGAGAACATGTTCTTCATAGGAAAGATGCTCCAGTAACAGCCGCAGAGCCCAGAAGTTACTCTAGGAAGGGACAAAACACAACCACTGATTTCACCCAGTTGCCAAATGATTTCTTAAAAAAAACGGACTAAACGTCAGCAGAGCTAACGGGGAACAGAACCAAGTCAAACACATCTAAAAACTCCAAGTTACACAGATTTGAAATACAATTCACTTGGACCTCTTAGAATGGAAATCAGTACCTAGGACTCACCCCAAAAGCCAGGGCTATCTCTAAGAAGGAAGTCAAGTACGGAAGATCACAAAACAGCATCTGTTGGATTGCTTGCACAGCGAGAATGAGACAAGCCTCGTGGTGCAGCTGCAGGAAGAGAGACCAACAATAGCATAACAGGTTTAAAAACCCACTTTCCCACCACACGCATATGGTATCCAGTGAGACCAGCACCACGTCGCTGCCTCCAGTCAGACAGGCTGGATGTCACACTCAGCATCCACAAAAATCTTTCGAAGATCAAAAGAAGGGGGATAGAACAGGTAATTTAATTAACAGCCTGTTTCACCCTGTGCTGGTGGCAGCCCAGAACAGACCCTAAGACTTCTCTTGCCTTGAGATACCTGCTCTAGCCTTCAGACTGTGCAGTCTTGTGCTGATTCCTCCCCCCAAAATCTTCAAGCCCCTTCTTAAGAGCTTTTCCTAACAATCCAACTGCTCTCTTCAAGCACAACAAAACAACTGGCAAATTTCCTCATTGCTGTGCGCACACTTACCTGAGGAGAGGAAATAGCAGGTGGTAAAGAAACATTAATTTTTGCCTTCAGTTCCTCTAAAAAGCCACCGCTGGCAGCGAGCACCCCCTGCAACAGAAATAATGAGTCACACGTAAAGGGAGAGGATGCCCAGATACTCTACAAATACCGAACCGTGCCTAAGATGGTTCTTCAAGGTGCTTTTATTTACTTTTCCAGCATTTTTACAGATAAGGTTGACTGTTAAACATCATGTTCAAGGAAAGTTGAGGCTCTACAGCACTAACCAAACCATACTGCGTAATCTCTTCATTTTAACTTACTAAGCTGAGCACCTATTTCTTTTCTTGAAGAAAATACCTGGATAATGAGTCTCTTCAGAACTATCAGAACACACTGATGGGATTTTTTAAACTGCTTTCTTATCCGTTTTGTTATCTGATCCATCTTGACATTAGAAGCTAGAGGATCAGCGCTAGGCACAGAGCTGGAAGCAGAGTTAACCTGTTTACCATTGCACGCAACACTCCTCAATCACAACGTTTCGCAAAGCGTAACATTTGGCACAAACCACGAGCGTTTGATGAGGCACCGTAAAATTAACCTTTGTATTTCGAAGAACATCAAACAAAGTCTTGTCTAAAACCAAGATGAGATTCTCCCGTTTCACAGTGCTGTCCCAGTTACCTTTTGGAAGTCAAGCGGTGGCTCTTTCAGGGACAGGGGATGTAGGTGCCCACTTTTTTCCAGAAAACTGCTGCTACCCAAGATCATGATGAGGGAACTCCAGCATTTCGGCTGCAACACAGCAAAATATCCGTTTTACAGGTCCGTTTGGAGGTGTAAGCTATTCAGAGGGAAAAGGGTTCTGATAGTAGGTCCTTGCATTAGAGAAGCAACTGAACAGAACAGTTACATACAGAAACACAGTTTTAATAGACTCACGTTCCTGTAAAGCGACACGTTGCTGTAAAGGAGTTTGAGCGCCTGCTTAATCAGAACAGCGTCTTTCAAGGGAGACCCTGTAGGAAAAAAACCACAAAAAACCAAACCAAACCAAAATGTATCTTATATTCCCTGAATCATCAAGAGCGTGAAGACAAATAAGACATTCTATGCACTTACTGCAGAAATCTAACAAAAAAGTGTCTACAGCTATTTTACAATACTTTATAGCTATTTTACAATATTTTGTAGGTTCTGAAGAGAAAGGCAACATCAGCTGTAAAAGGCCATTCTGGAAAGCTGCAAAGAACCGAACACAATTTAGATGAAGCCATCACAGAACAAAAATTTTCATTTTGTACCTCACCCCACAGGACAGTGCCCTACACACTGTCAGTGTCTCATATATCCAAGAACTCTACTAGTAGCTGAACACCTACAGAATAAATCTTGGATTTCAGAACACACCCTGACACGCAGCATGCACCAAGATGGATGATCAGTTGGCAGTGCCTAAACCAATGACAGAATAAAATATGCAGATGGTGAAACCTTTTCCATGAGGAAACTTTTATTCTCAAGAGCGTTACGGTGTGTTTCAGCCTGAATAAGTTGCAGGCTGTCACAGGCAGTGCCGTGATGCAACAGAGCGCTTCGTGTTTTCTTGGATTAGGTAGCTCTCGGCAAAACAACTTGGCAGCTGACAAAACCAGTCCTGTGTGTGAACCGTACTAAACAAATTCCTGCTCAGATACAGACATTCTTTCTGCCCAGAGTTATGGCTCACGCTTTAGCCCAACCAGCTGGTTTTTGAATCCTTCAGAATGCTACTAGATTTAATCGAAAAGTCAAAGGTGTAATTAAGTAAGGTTCTAAATATTTTGTAAGCAAGAAATCACGCTCACCAACGATAACCCAGGGTCCAGGGGTTAGCATATCCTTTCCAGCGGGGACACTGCCTGTCCGGAACATCTTCAGGTAGGTCTCGAACTGAACCGGCGTGAGCCGGCAGGCAGTGCAGCACGCGAGGCTGTTGACGGGAAACAGCAGCGAATGAGCAGCATCGAGGAAGTCTCCGGTTTTACACAAATAGAAAGGGATTTCATCGCGAAGGTCTCTCAATCTGGAAAGGAGAAAGAAAGGAGCAGTGGATTTTCATTAATGTCAAAGTTCTACAATACGCGTGTAACGAGAAAGTTATATCCAGCGAGGCAGAAGTTGGTCGCGATGAAGCGTTGGTTTCACTCAGCAGAGAGCTGACAAAATCCTCCAGCTTTGCTTTCTGTCAGTTTATTACACACTGAAGAAACACAGTGGGACACACTCATAAGGCAAAGAAACAACTGGGGGAGGGAAATAAAAAGAAAAAGCCATTTACCCTTTGGTATCGTTGCATTTCACAGCTCTCAGGTAGCGAACAACTTCTTTATAGCTGGGGAGAAAAAAAAAGACGGTGACCAGCAATAGGAAGGAAATGCAAAACAATACACAGGTCAGTCAAATATTTACTACAATTAATGAAGCAAAACAGATCCTCCCACTCAGGAGATGTCCTACAGCAAGAGAGAAATACAACTGGCAGAAAGAGACAGTTGTAGCTAAGTTCCAAGAAGCTACAACAGATTGTATCTGTACTTTGGCAGAACACCCCACGAGGTTGCCTTTCCATTTAATTCAAGTGGACTCCGTTCTTCTGAATACAGACTTCTGAAGACCCAGATACCAGAAGACAGTTTTTTTCTGCCTTCCACCTAGTCAGCCTTTGAGAAACAGAATTTGTTTTAAACATCAGCTTCTGAAAACCTACTGGGTTTATGGAAACAAAGAAATTCCCTACTTTGACATTCTTTTCTGGTCCCAAAGTGTTCAAAGGGCTTGATTCTGCTCTGAAAAAACTTCAAAAAGCTGCTGACCTTGTTGGTAACAAGTAACAGCCATGAACAGCTTAAAATGTGTTTTTGTTTTATATGCTTCCCCGTTACACAAAATGCCCACAGGTGTTAGGAAAACACCCCAGCATAACCAATACCATGCAAAGTGTCCAAGTTGAGTTCAGAAAAAGGAAAAAATCCCAAACAAGACCCAACTGATCCTACCTCTTTTTGTCTACCAATTTCTCCACTCGAGCCTCTATAACAGGGAGTGTTTCCCACAGAAATACTTTTCTTCCTTTCTGTGTTCTTTGCCCAGTGATGTTCTGGCCTTTTAAAACCGTGGTCAGTAACACATGGTCCCATGGCACAACATTCAAGCTGGAAGTAGGAAAATAAAGTCAGTTTTAACCACGTTTTCTTTTGCACACCACAAAGTAACGAAGATTTACCAAACATTTTGAAGTTTATAGCTCACTTCTGGGGAGGGGTGGGGGAGGAAAAAAGCCACATGGACAACAAAATAGCATCAAACAACAACTTTTCCTGCAAGGACAGGACAAATACAAAGCAGCCAACACTGAAGTCTTCCATAATATGCTCACACCTAACACCATCAGTGGAAGAACCCTTCTGTAAAGCTGTTTTCAAACCAAGTATTAAAAAACATATTCTCCAAGCAAAACCCAAAGAACATACCTATTTGAGAAGCCAAAACAGTGACATGGAAGCGTGATGGACTGAAAGAAATTAACAAACTTTTCATATAAACTTTTGGGGAAGTCACACAGCACCAGCATCCTCTGAAGTTGTGTTGTGATCCTGTGTTTTGAAAAGAAAAAAAAAACACCCCAAAATATATTAAAATTGGATTAATTACTATTAAGTTGTGGGGTTTTTTTAATCCTGTGGGAAACTATTCTACAGAAGTTTGGGGTCTTTTTTTTGGTTACACGTCAGATGGGCAGTTTCGATCTGTATTTAAATTTGTGCTTTAAGATTCGTAGTGAATAACGATGTTGCTCCTTTTGTTATTATTTTCAAACACCAGTGAAACCAAAGTTCTGTGGTCTTAGGCTTTAAAGTGAGTGTATGAGAGAAATGCTGTAGAAACCCATGATGAGCCCCATAAGCAGCCCGACCAACCTGAGCTCCTGCAGCTTCACAGCTCATGAACTCTGTTTTGTCTTAACTGAAAACTGGAAATAACACACTGACAAAAAGAAGAGTTTACTCTTTTAAAATTGCGGGATGGAGGCAAAAAGAAAAATAATTCTTGCTCCTGTTTTTTTGAAGTAAGAAATGAAAAAACTGAAGAACAGTAATTTAAAATAAAAACAGACACAGGATTTAGGTTATATCTGTCACGAGTTTCAAAGAGGTGAGAATATATAATTGTTTTTGAGTGTTCCTGGAAAAAAGTTAATTCTTAATTCATTAACCTTCTGTTGCAAGTGAATCTCAGGTTAAAGGTGAAACACAAAGCTAAAATGAGAAATTAATTATGCCAAGTGAGCTGGATGGCCTCATTCATCAGCCTCTGGGGGAACTTCTCTGTGTCACAGCCCTGACAGCTCCATCCCAGCAAAGCAGGAGGCGGCTGCTGTTTTGATCCTTAGACACTATTTACTCGTTGGCTTACTAACCACAAGTAGCTGCCTGACACCACCTTCTGGTCTGGCCTTACACAACACTCTAGACCGCAGTCAAGAGGTAATCCACCTTCTTGGCTCCGAGCTCCCCATTGAGCTCTTCTCCTTTGAGGCAACGACGAGGGTTTGGGGGTTTCTGTGGCTCTCAGTAAGGCAGGTACTGCCTTTCTCGGGAAAGGACTAATACTGAAAGAGCTGCTAAAAATCCTGATTTGTTGTGTATAACCGTAGAACATGATAGCACAAGGAAGTTCCTGCTCGTTAGGCCGATCAGTGCATGCTGGTTTTATGTCTGATGTCCCTGCCATCTGCTCTGCTCGTACGCCTGAGGCAGCACAGCGGCGGCATTTTCCCTGATAAGAAGTTCTCGATGCCACAGAACTACAAGATTACACACCTCTGCAACCTTACTTTTAACTTCTAAGAGCCACAGCGTTAACTTTTGTCTTTATACCTTCGAACAGAAATAATTTTAAATGTGTTTTAAATGCAAGCAGAGAGTTTGCAGCCAGCAACCATCCTGCTGTCATCTCACCCTATGATCAGACAAGTCTTACCTCTGCAACAGACAAGGGACAGCAATTTTTAATGCGTCAGTATGACCAAGGTTCTGCCAGCTTCTAAGAGAGGAGGAAAAATAAAAAGCACTAAGTAACATTTGGCTTGTTTTCCTGCCTTTTCTCCTTCTCTCTACTCAACTGTTTGAGAAAAAGGTGCAGATAAACCAAAAACCACAGATAAAACAAATGCTCAAGGTGTAAAACACATTCTAGAATTAACACTGCTTTACAGCAGTACCTGACCAACCCAGACATCTCTCTCCTGCTGACACACGCAGTGTAAAGCAGTACCAGACTGTATTAGACCATCGTGGGCACATGTTTGTTTTACAGGGCCCCTAAAGGGCTGCATATCATCATCCCATCCAGCTACAGGGAAAGCTGCCGGACTCGGAACAAGCACAGAGACACGGCCAAACAAAATATCCAGCCCGCAACTTGCAAACTTTGACAGTTCCTCGGAAAGCACTGCGGAGGAGCTGCTGTTTCTGCCCTCCCGAACCAACCCAGACCACATTTACTGCTCCTTTATCAAAAGCCTGGAATGTAAGCCCACACATATTTAGGTTTTGCAAACCAAAGCTCTCTGACCTTGCTCAGACTGGTTAGCAATTGAGAATAAACCAGCCACGGCATAAACAAGAAGATAGACAGCACAAGTAGTGAAGACTGAAGTATTTAAGTCCCGTTTTGATTTATTTATCATGCAGTCCTCCCAGCTCACCCGTCATGGACTGCATGTCCAGACTTACAGGAAACATCTAAAGCTCGTTAGCCAAGGAACGTCCCATCCTCCCTTCCTTCCAGGCCAGAGGCAGATGTTCCTTCCCAAGTGCAGCCCGCGAGCAATCCACTCAGGAAAGCTCCCCTTCCCCTTCTCCTGAAGAATTGGCTCCACACACCCTCCTTCTCATTCCCATCTCAGATTCCTTCCCCTCGCTGCAGATCCTTTCCCTTCCTTGTGACTCAATCCCACTTAACTTCTTCCTCTCCCATCCAACCTTTAACCTTCCCTCTTTCCCCAAATTCCTCCGTGTAACCAATCCCCCTTCTCCCTTGAGCGTACTCATGTTCCTCTCACCGTGCTGCAGTCAGGGCTGTGATCTTTACACTGTCCTCACTCTCAATAAAAACAGAAACCCGGAACTCTCTCACTTACGTCTCCTCCCTTTGAGAAGCACATGAAGAGACACAGTGGATGTGGAACTGGATACTCACAACGAAGGGTCTTTATGAAGTGCTATCTCCTTAGCCGCTCCCAGAAACATGACAGCAGCAGCTTTAGGACTCTCTCTTTCTGCCTGATTCAGAAAGCTCGTTACCAGCGCAAAAACTCTAGAATACCTAAGAAAGTTAAACAGTCTGTAAGATAAAGTGTCTGCAGTGATGTACTTTGTAAACAAATGGGAGTTCTTCTTCAGTTGGAGAGCAAATTGAGCCCCGTTTCCTTGAAAAGAATCTGTACGACAGCGGGAGCGTATGTGTGCAACTGTTGCTTTAAGCATTTTAAAGGCATATACCATCGAGAAAAAGCTGAACCTTATCCTAAGAAACAAATTAGTAAAAACACAGGCTTTACTTCCATGCTTCCCCAGGTTATAATAATGAGGGATATTATCAAGTCTCATAGGATAGCACAAGCCACATATTTAAAATTGTTCTTAAGGTGCATTTAAATTGGTGTTCAAACTCCACCCAAGTGCGATTTAACAGCTCACGGGCCAAGAAAGTTCTCTCAACTATGTTTCTGCTGTCTCGGGTGCCACGATGACCACTTAACTAAAGGAGATCACACCTGTCCTGACAAGTATGTACTGGTAGCAGCTGAGTTCCGTCGTAACTTACTTGTATACAACTTCCGTGTTGTGTGATCTGCAGACATTGCATTGCCCAGGAAGCAGTTTTGGGAGATTGAAGCATTCATGTTGCACGGGAGGCACTTTTTCTCCAGCCAGATACTTATTATATTCCACAGAAAGCTCCTGAATAAATTTTATTAGAAGACTCCCTACGAGAGCAGACAGATGTGAAAACTGTTAGCGCAATTTTTTACGTTTGCATTTTCAAAACGGAAAGGAACAGAAAAGAAATCGTAAGTACCCCACATAAAATATTTCACACCCAGTCTTAATGGTCAGGAAAGCTTTGTTGCTTTTTCCGGAGCGCGGAAAGCACGAAAGCACAGACACCTGGCCTGCAAACACGTGTCTGCTCCACGTACAGCCCAGAAAGACGGCTGCAAAAAATTCCTTAAAAATTCGTCAGGCCTTAGCAAGGAGAGTTGTGGACCAGACAATCCGTCCAGCAAGCCCCAGGCTGAGGAGCTGGGGGTGTCGGGCCAGGAGCGGAGCGCTTACCCCCGTGCCGAAGGTCTGCGTCTATTTCCGTGAGCTCCAAATTGAACATGACAAGAACACCCGCCAAGGCGAAGTCACGCTGGTCCTTCCAGAACTTGCTTTTGTTGTGTGCGTTGCAGTGACAGAGGGAAGGGGTTGTCCAATTCTGGCACTATTTCATAAAATGTGAAAACCAGGGAAAGTTGTTTATCGTTGTTCTTTTTTTTTCTCTCTAGCTGAGCAAATCAAGAGGTAGTTCCTCTCTCTGAGAGGACGACTCCAATGCATTTAATCCTTTGCACAGCCAGACAAAGCCACAGTGAAGTATTTCCACAGTCAGGGCAGGAGGCCAATATGGCAATACCCTGATACTATGGCTTAAAAAAATCCAAAAAACAACTCCACAGTAATTTACCTTCGTTCCCAGATACCTGATAGAAACACTTTGGACTGGCACCCTCCCTGTAGTAAGTTAATAACCAAGCACTGTCTTGGCATGTCCACTGCAACTCTGTTCACAGTTTAAAGTTTTCTGAATTCTAAGAAAATCCCAAACAAACTCCACATAGCCAGAGTTTCCCTCCCTGCTCCTTAGTACGGGAAAAACTAAATTCAGTATAACAATCCCATGAAACACACTGTGTTTCTAAGGCAAACAGGAGGCACATCTGCTTAAATCAAGTGAACTCTACTCCAACAACTGGCTGGCCTACCAGAAATCACCTCAGGCAGTGACCACATTTTTAGTAGCATTATTAAGCTGACAGATATCAACATTTAGGAGAGGAACTGTTAAAATAATCAAATTTCATGCACCATATATTCCTTTAGTGTGTTTAAGAGTGATTTCTTTTAAGAAGACCGTTGAGCAATTTAGTTTACTCAAAGTTGTGCATTTTTTCTTACCTCGGAAGCTAGTTTATCACAGATGTAGCAGTAGCACTGATTACAAATATCAGCATTTTTCTCAAGGGGTGAGCACGCATCGCATTCTGTTCGCCTGCAAAGTTGAAAACCAGCAGGTTATTTATGAAATGAGTTACATGCTTATCCAACTCTACACTTCTCCTTAGTTGAAAAGCTAACAAGGTTACTTGACAAGACAGGTTAAATGTGGAAAATGAAATTCCGGTATTAAGCTCTGTCAATGAACATACTCAAACGGGTGTATTGTACAGTCATATCTCGCATGAGGCATCACTTTGGCTTGTTTACAGAAAGTAACCATTAGTTCACATTCCTCATCTACAACTTCTTCGGATTTCTCCTCTTCCAGGGCAGACTTTTCTGTAGAAAAGAGAATATGTGGTGTGAATCAGTAACTACATTCGTTACAAATGTGAATCAGTAACTACAACTCCATTACAAATTCAAGCAGCTACTGACATTTACTTTTTCAAAACCCTTTAAGGTACAAATTTTCTTATGATTTCATATGGTGCCAATAAGAACGGTACGCAGAGCTGGGACAAAACACTTCCACATGCTATCAAAACAGACATAATTTAATCAAAAAGGATCCAGCTGATATTGAAAAGGCCCAGTCTCAGCCAGGTTTGTAATATTTTGAAACTACACAGCAGTATCCTCTAAGGTAATTAGTGCCATCAAAGAAATCCCAACAGTTAGGAAACAATGGCAGTTCCTCCTGGTTTTATTTATTTATGAAGTGCTTTGTTTTCTTAGCAGCACAAAGACACGTTTTAAGCATATCGCGTAATAATTTACTTCAGCTTGCTTCAAAAGTTCATTACAGAGCTTCGAGAGCAACAGAAGCACAGTACTTACGCGACGGGTCTACTAACAGAACTGAATTCCCAAGCGTGCTCTCAGCTTCATCATCACTGATCAGGATTATGCTCTCCTGTTCCTTTTCTCTTTTCGATGGCCCCATGGTTATCGAATTCCAGTGGAAAGAAATTCTTCAGACACAAGGATACTTCCCACTTTGAAAGTCCTTTCCTCAGGAAGGGAAGAAAAAGACTTCTCCGAGAGCCAAACTCTTCATCTGTGCTGAGTAAGCTACACTAGGGGCAGAAACGTTCAACCCTCAGCGCAGTCAGCAGCTCAGATAATGCCGCAGTTTCCATCCAGAGCTGAGAGAACCCTGAAAACCAAGGAGGTAGGGAAAAAAAAACAACAAAAGAAAACAGATATGAGATATGCTGTGGGTTTGGTGGAACTACCTTTGAAAGAACCATCTACTAGTAACAACTTAAGCTAAACATGAAATGCTTTTTTTTTCTGGTGATGGTAACAGAGCGCTGGCACAGGCTGCCCAGAGGGGTTGGGGGGGTCTCCATCTCTCTGGAGACTTTCAAAAATTCTTCAG